GCCTATATATTTGAAATCTGACAGCAAAGACATCAAGTAATGAATATTTTAATGTTTCATTGAAGTATCTAAAAAACACATTGCTTAAATCAACTTGACTGAAGCTCTTCATTCAGAAGAAAAGACCAATGCCAGCGATTTTCATAAGAATTATCAATCAACCATGAATTTTCACTGTGACAGTTATTAGAATTTTTTACTTTTTTCTTGGGGGAAATATTGACTGAAACAAAACATTTCAGTCAATTAAGTTTCATAGTTTCTATTCTTCTTCCCATTCTTTTCCCCTTGACATCTATCTAGACCATTCATGTAGGACTTGGTTTTATATCTGCTCTTATTCTAAAACAAGGTTTTATTTTACCTGAAAATTAAAATTTCAGTTAAATATAGACTCTCAAGAAACAAGTAGTTAACACGAGGTTATGTATTAAAGGCTTAGCCCAATGTATTGCACTTTGCTCCATGGATACTGAGAATTGAAGATTGTGTCAAACCTATATCAAGCAAGTCTATTAGTAGCATTTAAATTCTTTTAAAAAATAATGTCACTGCATACTTAATAGACTATATAGTGTAAACATAAAAAAAACTCAAGTGACTTGATTTATTATTCACTTTATTGTATAAAGTGATCTGGAATAGAGCCTATGATACTACTAATACATGTCTGTACATTATTTAGGCTATGTTTTCTATATAAGCCAAGTTTCTAATTTTCCAGCTTGAACATTCTTTAAATTATGTGAGAATTCTTGTTTAGATGTTGGGATTAATTTGAAGATGTCAAAAGAATCAATATATGTAGTAAATACAATCTACTCTGTAGTAAATACAACCCAATTTTTAAACGTCATTATAACCAACATTAATATTGCTTATGTGAACCTAATAAAAACAAGTAAAATGCTTCATTAGTATTTATATTAATATGAATTATGGACATTACAAACAAGTAATTTAAATTATTAGCTACTAAGTTTAAAACTAGTTACCAAAGAATTTGTGTATTTTAAATAAGGAAACATGGCAAATTAGGCAATTTAAGAATATTTATGATTTATTACTTCTCGTAGAAATATGGTCAGTGACATGGTGAGTTAGGTCAATATTCTTAGACCACAGCTACTTTGGTGTTGGATAGGGTAATCGGAAAGGAAACAGTGGATGAAGGCTAATGATCATGACCACCTCATTCCTAAGGGAATCCCTTGGTGGTCCAGTAATTCCCTCATTTACTAATCTAAAGTTTAGCATCTTAGATCTACCCAAAAAGTATCCTGGCAGAAAGACCTGGAAAACCCCATGCTGTTTAGTCCTACTGACACACATGGAGCCACCATGAGATGGAATTGACAGCAACTGAAGAAGAAACACCGTTGTGGAAACTTGTTTTGCTCTCTCCCCTCACTTCTCCCTAGGATTTGTTCCAATTTTAGTTCTCTTCTTCTTTATTCCACTGCTATATTTGATGCTTGCATTTGATATCATTAAAATGACATGTAAGCAAAATACTCTGGAAGATCATTCAAAAACATAACAGTACTTAGATACTTAGATAGGTAACTGCCAGAAGTTCAAGCAGGATTTAGAAAAGGCTATGACACCAAGGATTTCATTGCTGATGTTAGATGAATTCTGACTGAAACTAAAACATTTCAGAAGAATGTCTATTTGTGCTTTATTGACTTTGCAAAAGCAATTGACTGTGTGGATCATAAAAATTCTGGCTAACATGAAAAGAATGGGAATCCCAGAACACTTAATTGTGCTCTTGTAAAACCTATACCTAGACTAAGAGGTTGTTGTGCAAATAGAACAAGGAAACACTACATGGTTTAGAATTAAGAAGGGAGTATGTCAGGGTTGTAGTCTCTCTACATATCTATTCAATCTGTATCATGAGAAAATTATTTGAGAAGCTGGACTATGAAGAAGAATGTAGCATCAAGATCAGAGGAAGACTCATCAATAACATGTAAATGCAGATGACACAACTTTGCTTGCTCAAGGTGAGGAGGACTTGAACCATTTGTAGAAGATCAATTAATACAAGCTTCAATATGGATTGCTCACCATCAAGAAAACAATATTTTTTAACATCATGATAGATGGAGAAGATTAAAACTGTCAACAACTTCATCTTACTTGGATCCATAATCAACACCCTTGGTATCTGGAAATGTATGCAGTCAGGGACTTCTCCAAATTATTGAGGAACAATGTCAGTTTTGAGGACTAAGGTGCATCTGACCCAGGCCATGGTATTTTCAATTACTTGTTATGCATCTGAGAGCTGGACAATTAATACGAATGGCAGAAGAAGACTTGATGCCTTTGAGCTGTAGTTTTGGAGATGAGTATTGAACATTCCCTGGACAGTCAAAAGAACAAACAAATATGTCTTGGACAAGGTGCAGCCAGAGTGCTCTTTGGAGGCAAAGATGATAAAGTGTCATCTCATATACTTTGGGCATGTTGCTGGAGAAGTTATTCCCTGGACAAGGACATCATGCTTGGGAAGGCAGAGGTGTTGACGAAGGAGAGGAAGACCTTAAATTAGGTGGACCTTATATATTGACTGCTGCAATAGGCTCTAAAGTATCAGGAAGTGTGAAGATTACACAGAATAGAACAGGGTTCAGATGTGTTGGTCATAGGATCACTATGAGTTGTGCTTGACTTGACCACACTTAACAACACCACCATCACCACCACCAATACTTGATCCTGGGTGTTCTTACTGTTTTTTTAGGCAGGTACAACTGTTTAGGAAGCTTCTCTATCTTATAAGCAACAGTTAGCACTCTAATGTCAGAAGGAAAGCTTTTCATCATTAGAAATCCTCACTGGATGTCTAGTGGATACAGGTGTACAGTGATTGTGACCCAGGCTCCATACTTGGATTGTGTAACTCAGAACCTCCTTCTTTCTTTAGTTTTAGCTGTGATCTTTGACTTTTCTACTTTTTGTCTATTCCTCACATCATTCCTCATCACTTCAATTATTATCTAGAAATTTATTAATTTTCTTATTGATCCTTCTGTTTTCTTTACTTCTTGTCTACTCATTATTTTACCATGTTCTCCCAAAAAAACTCAGTTTACAAACATTAATATGATATTTTAAATGTAGTATTGCGTTAAGTTAATGCTGGAGCAAAGTTGGAAAATTTACAGAACCCACTAACTGTGCTATTAGCTCAGGTCACAGAATAGGCTGAAAGAATGGAGTAGCAAGAGTCTTCATTATTTTATCAGTTTACTTGTAAGTATTTTTAGATCATAATTCAGGTGATAAAAACCTTTGACATAGTACTGTTTCATAGAAGCAGTAATATCCTGTAGAAAATGAAACCACGTAGGAAATGATGAGAAGATCGATTCTACTCTCCCAAATGCTGAGTAACCTTCGGCAGATAACTGCCACAAAGTGTGTGCAGGCCTTGATGGCCTCTCTCATAAAACGGAGATAATATTTGATCCTAATATTTGTTGCACTAAAGATTAATTAGATAATATAGATTTAAAAACATCTGTTCTTTGGAAGAGCAAAAATCCTATGCCAACAATCCAATACAACATGATTTAGTGAGTCTGTCACATTAAGAATAAAAGCAAAAAAAAATCTTCATTATCAAATTCTGCTTAGCTCTCCCCTTCTAAGTTTTTCAGAACCATAATGGATGAGACTAAATCAATAATGGTCACATCATGCATAGTGTCTTTGCAGGAACAGGATATGCTGAACTTTCCTCTGATTGTTAGAGATTTACTTTTCTCCAAAGGTCCTTTGTAGCTACAAGAAAGCATTCTTAAGCTTGTTTCTCAGATTTACAGAGAGCAGAACAGGACTAGGGGAGAGATAGTAGGAGAGAGGAAGAGGTGGAGATAGGGAGAAAGGAAGATGAGGAGACAGAGGAGAGGGAGAAAAGGAGAGAGAAAGGAAAAAGAAAGAAGAGTGAGAGTGAGCAAGACACAGAGAGAGAAGAGACAGAGGGAGGAGAGAGGAGAGAGAGAGAGGAGAGGGGAGAGAGAGGGAAAGGGAGTGGGAGAGAAGGGAGTGGGGGGGGGGAGAGAGAGAGAGATTTTTTTCCTCAACAACAGAGCTGTCCCATAAAGACTCAAATGTAAGTAAAAAGAATGCGTTCTCTTAATCTCCTTTACCAGACACTGTTCTTCAATTAGCCACTAAAAAAGAGGAGACATCCATCATTAGCTTGAGGGATAGATATGAGAGTGTGAAAGCCTATTAAACATCCAATTTCATGGTATCCATGCTAGAAAAATGAAATCTTTCCCTTGCCATTGAATCATTGTTTGAATCTACTCAGAAGTAGTGCCAACTCACTGCAACTATGAAATACAGATTCTCTTTAAGAGCCTCTTCTACCAGTAGCTCATTTTCAATTTCCTAAAGGTGTGCTGTAAGTCAATTAATAACTCTGTAAACAATTCTCTCAAATCTTTGAGTTCCTTTGTTATTATAAGAGAGCTGCACAAAGGTCTTCTTTCTTGTTTAACAAATCCCGCATTTATCTAGTAATGCTGTTCTCTCAGAATACTCTAACTTTCTGCCCATTTACCCTTTAAGTGTCTTATCAAGAAAAGAGAATATAAAAATGTCTATTAGTAAGCATGTTTAATTTAAAAAAAAGACTCTAACAAAAAACAAACATAAAAGGAATAATCATTCAGTACTTTATATCTGTTTCCTCATTGTAGCTTCTACATCTACATGCATATATACTTATATATATAAATATATATTTACATACACACATATATACAGTTAAAATGTATATATTTAACAACACAGAATGATAACATATCAAATGCTTAGATTCCATGCAAACAGAAAGCACTTCCTGTGAAGGAAACATATTAATCCTGCAAAAAACAGATCATGGAGAGTAGCATGCAACAACTGTAGGAGGGTATGGGGCCAGGGCAGGGGGAGAGAGAGCACAGAGAATGTAAAGAACAAAAAGTGTCATTGACCTGATTTGTCAGAGCTGTTGCCTGTGATTGGAGTGATGGAGCAGCTGGGATTAGCCTTTGCGCTGTCCTTGGAAGAAACCATTTTGGGTTTAGTTTTCGTTGCCTCTAGTGCTTTGACCTTCTTGGCATGTTTACTTCCTTTGTAGTGGGCCTCGGCCTGGCTCTACAAAGGAGAACAAATCAGGCTCATTTTTTTTGCCACTTACAAACACCACAATGGATGATCATGCAGGGGGAAAAACCACATTCAATCATAGGCACCAGAGACATTCACAACCAAGCACTCTGACGATGCTTTTGGCATGTCATTAAGTGGTAGATCAATGTCACAACCTTCCACATGACATGGAGTGTCTCTGTCTTTAAAACCCAAACATTATACAAGTGGACAACTAGGTTTGGGCAAAACTGTCATGAAGGTGGGCTTTGTCATCAGTGCCCGTCACTAGCACCTCACTCGTGTGACTTTTCAAATGTTTGACTGTTATGAATCTCAGAAAGGCTATCAGCAAGCTTTCTGAAAGTCCTACCAGAGTATGACCTTCTACAACCATTCCATCTTCTCACTTCAGTCAAAATCCTGTCGTTCTGTATCTACTTTTTTCTGGACTTTGCTCTGAGGCCAAAAGATCTGATACAACAACCTGCTAATAGATGCTGTTGTTGTTGTGTACCATTGAGAAGTTCTAACTTGTAGGTACTCTGCGTGACAGAGTACAACTGACTCAAAGGCTTTCCTCAGCTATAATCTTTACAGAAGCAGATTGCCAGGTTTTCTTTCCACATAGCAGCAGGATAGGTTTGAACTGTCAACTTTTGCATTAGCAACTGTGAACTCAGGCACTCTGCCACTAGGAGTGGAAATAGTACAACATTGTTGATATGTCTACATATTCCTCATGGACCCCTTTGATATTTCCACCCTGGTGGCCTAGTGGCAAGAAGCTGCACTGCAATCTCGAAGGTACATGGTTTGAGGCAACCAGATGCTCTGAGAGAGGATGGGCAATCTCCTTTCATGCATTAACTGCCTCTGAAAACCCACTGGAGGGTCAGCTTTAGGGTTTGTTTCCCTCTCTGTGGTACACAACAACAACAACAACAACAACAACAACAACTTATAAGAACTATGAAGAAGTTAGATACAATCCTTGTTTTGGATCTGTGGCGTAATTCTACAGTCAAAGCAATAAATGTTCTGTTCATGGATATATAGCATGATTGTACACATAACTATGGCTTCAGTACTATATCAAAAGAAGAATTACAAAAAAGTGATGATTAAATATCTCCAAAAGACAAAAAATAAGTTACAGGAAACTGAGAAAACATTCAACAATTTATTGACATTTAGAAAGCTTCTCTCTGTTTAAGGGCAAAGTTTCTGTCCTCTAGGTGTTTAGCTCTGGTGGCCCAGCTATGGTGCCAACTCAAAGGTAGATGGTTTGAATTCATCAATTTCTCCACAGGAGATAGAAGAATGATCTCCTCCTGTGTGATTGACAGCATTTGATAACCTGCTGGAAAGTCAAATATGAATCTGTTTTGATACAGTATGCATATTAAT